CGAAATTTTGTATGTCTATCTTGTCAGGCACCTTCTACCACTGTCTACATGGAATATCATGTTCTAGAAAAATAGGGTAGCCGTGAAGATTAACGAAGCAAGTAAATCTCATCAGCTGTACTTAACTAGTGCCACGATAGTGGATGATCTTCCCGTAGGATAAGTACTAACTTTATGTGACAAAGTAGATTTTCAATGATCATGATCGAAAAATGAATACCTACTTCCTATGATGATAGTGAAGATTAGTCCAATCTGACGTCATGTTTTCACCTTTTCCATGCCTCGCGAGGTTGATTCATCCGCTTTCATGGATGAATGAATGATCTACGTATATGTCGAAAAGCGACAATGACACTATCTGCGATTTTGCGGATCAGAACAACTAGACTGTATTCCATGACTGCTTAATAATGATGTGGTAATTCTACTTATGTAACTAGATAGTGATGTAGGTTGAAGGTCGATAGCCCACGGCTTTGACAATAGTGAAGATCTGGCTCTAAGTCATTTGGTTCACCTTTCAACCGGACACAAGGACAAACTTTCATGCTACGAATACTAACATATTTTTTGAACAAGTTTCTAATATTTCACACCTGGCGTCGTTGTTTTTATCTAGCATTCTTCCTCACCGCAGTCACCCGCAGTGGACCCGTACTTCGGCAAAACCGGGGCATCATTTGTGGACAGGCGACGATGATCGCGGCGGCGGCGGCGCACGCACCAAACCAAAGCCAAGCCCGCAACAAACGCAATAGTCGAAATCTGCATGACGGCCATGGCATCGAGGTGCATGGTGGAAAGAGCCGCGCGAGAAGTGGATATAGTTGTCGCTGCATGGGTCTGGAGAGAGCTCACGCCAATTTTTTGAGCCAGGTCTTTCCTGGGGTTGATGAGGTGGATTTGCTTTCGATGTGAGCAATCAGATACTCACTCCTATACTTTTCTTTGCTTTTTTCCGACAAGGGTGAAGAAAACAAAATCATGCCGAATGAAAAAAATATGCCAACGAGAAAAAACGATAATACCCGACGACCTGCGATGATTGGAATTGGTCCAAGATTCGCGAAGAACTTCTTTTTGCCTGCGCGAATGCGATATCCACCTGTTTCTGCCATAACAACTGAGGATGACCTCCGTGACTGTGATCGCTTGTAAATGCCTTGCATTAAATCCCCAAACCTTCCCAGCCATGGATAAAGTCTTACACCGTTGAGCAAAGTCCGAACATCCCGCGTCTTTACAAATCATAACGCGCGCCAGATTATCATACTACATCAAGGTCAGAAGACCGTCAACATTTGCCACGTAGATCGAACCATCGATCAAGTTGCGCAACAAAAAGCAGATCCCTGCACAGGTGAAAATCCAACACCGCACACAAGAGTAAGAATAAAAAAAATAGGCGTCGGAAGAAAAACGCAAGCCGAAACATAATTTTTGCATTCGAAGAATAGAAACAAGATCCCAAGCAAGCTGAGACAACATCCCCAAGGTTCGCTTTGAGTCAAGCACAAAATTCACATCCCAAGGCGGCCAAGGTTGTGCGAGTGCCTTATGCTCGGCGGTCAATAGTTCATCTAATATTTCGCCGAGAGCAAAGAATTGCCCCAGCTCGGGCTTCTTTCCTCACGCACGTGTATCTGCGCAATCGTCTGGCAAGTTCGGCAAGCTAGTCCAGGCGCCGAAGTCACGCAGTAAGCCTGTGAGCTTTCTCGCCCGGGATCGCCACACGCTGGAACTTCAAAAAAAGCGACGCAAGTTCCTCTAGGGAGGTGGGCGGACCGCTGAGGCTACAGGCAGAGGCCACCCACGCAACAACGAAGGCTCGGCCTAGTCTTCTCGCGAATGCAAGCGGTAGAGAAGACGCGACCCCCTGCGCCAGCCTGCAGCGGCTAGTGTTCCGAGTAGCGGAAAAGACTACACCAAGACTATGCACATGGAGGGGCAGTTGCTTGCCCTCTCAGTCAGACAAAGGCCCCTTTCAGTCTCGCTCATCGTGTGCCTGTTTATAGGCAAAAGAAACGATCGCCCTTGCCCTCTCAGGTTGGCGCCCACCTCTCAAAAGTCAGGATAGAGGGCCACCGCCTGGCCCAACAGTCTTGAGCTCAACGAGGAGGAACGAACACGGACTAGGAGGTGAGCCTAGCCAAGGCGCATGCGATAAAACTGCAGTGATTCGCTTCAGACTTAGTTATCGGAGCGCTACAGCATAATCCGCTACGGCGCAGAGAATTCGACAGCCGCGTGCACATTTGATGGGGGTGACGGTCTGGCTAGATTGCAAAAGAAACGAAAGAAAAGAGAACACTGCCTCGCGGTAGTTGATGGCCTGAGGAGTCGGTGGGCGCTGACTGTATTCACGCTTGCTGGTTAGATAAAAGAAACGAAAGAAAAGAGAACACTGCCTCGCGGTAGTTGATGGCCTGAGGAGTCGGTGGGCGCTGACTGTATTCACGCTTGCTGGTTA